GTTATGAACAAATATGGGTGCTTGGGAATAGTTGGGAGTGCTTTCTATATAGATAGGGGGTGGGGGGAGGATTGGAGGGCAACTAGGGGGTCATAATGTATTAATGGGTGGGATGTAGGGGTAGTTGTAAGGTTTTTCTGTACAGATGGGGGGCTTTATATGTGGCTGGAGGGGCAACTATTAGGGCTTTTTGTACAAATGGGTAAGATGAGGATAATGATACAGGAATTTTCTCTAGATCAAATTTACATTAGGCTACATGATGGATGTGCTTATATTCAAGAGAATCAACATTTGCTTTAAGTCAATCAATCTTGGTGCCCGAACTCTTTTCAATTCTATTACAATTGTTTTAGAGTGCATCAAGCAATTTCCCTTGAACACTACCCCAATCCTAACTTGTTGATTAGGGAGGGGGGGGGGCTTATAAGTAAGAATGAGAGGTGTTGGTGGAAAATTCTTTTGGTATTGGTGAAGGGATTTGGTGAGGAGATTGAGTGTGAGTTTGTATTTGAAGGTCATCAATGGTAGTTATGTGAGCATTCAAATTTTCTGCTTCCTCCTGAGTAACACCATAGAGGATATGAAAAATCTACACATAAATTACACGAATGTTAGCAAATCTCATGTTTTAGGGGAATTAATTGAAATGAGCTTCTGGACAAATCTCCGTATGTACCTGCCTTTCCTTTAAGGTAGCAAATAAATAGTTAGCCTTCTCTATAGAATAAAAAACACCTGCATTGCCCCATGTAAGAAAATGTGGTCTTAAATCAGGGTACTTAAGGGCATTTTGTGAGAAGTGCTCCAGGAATCATATATGCATAAGACCACGTAAAGTAATATTAGCTAATGAATTATAAAAAGAATTAGACTTAAATGAACTTAGCACTCACCAATATGAGAGGTACAAAATTATTTATGCAAACAAGTGGCTTCTCCATAGAAAACTTGATGGCAATTTTATTAAATTTATGGACCAAAAAGTCGCTAATACTCCAGTCCCAATTAATAGATGAGAACTCATCTACATTACTTGTTATAGATATAAGCCTTCTTAGGGTTTTAGGTTATTGAGAGGAAAAAATAAATTAGAAACAAAAATATTATGAAGGACTTTAACATAACTGCTAGGTAAGTTGATCTGTTTAGCTCCATCATTTCATTTTTAATATCAGTTGATAAGACTCCTATAAGTGGCTCGCTCTGCCATGTAATCTCAAAATCTTTATTAGGATAAACTTGTGAGCAGATTCACCTCATCATATGTGATTTTCAGCAAATGACCTTTGATAATGAAGCCTTGTTGAGAGATATCTCACAATTTTAGCAGCTTGTATATCAGAAGTACATTTTGTTTGAATGGTGAGAATTTCAAAAACTAATGGATATTCAGAGTCTTTGATGTGTCTCAACATCTTTGTGAATTACTTCGACAAATGAGTTGCAAATCATTTGGAAGGTTGAAATATAACAACAATATATAATTAGACGAACATAAGGAGCCATCTGCAAAAAATAAAGAAAAAAACTCAGTAAATATGAAGTAAAGGCAAAGTAACAAGAAAGCACAATGAAAGCACAATAGGAAAAACACAGTAAAAATGCAGTAGAAAAGGCACAGTAAAAGTGTAATAGAAAAAGCATAGTGAAAGTGTAGCAAAAGCGCAGTAGCAAAATACAGTGAATGCGTAACGAAAGGCCAGTGAATGCACAACAAAAGGGTTGTAGAAAAAGAGCTATGAAAGCACATCAAAAGCGTAGTAGCAGATGCAAAATGAAATATCGGTGAACAGTGCCATTAAAAAAATGTACTTAGATATTTTAGAGTTATACAATCTAGTTTTAAAAATTGAAGAAATTGATATATGAACAATACAATGACAAAAGCACAGTGAAAGTACACTTAAAGTGTAGTTAAAACGAAGTTGAAATGAAAAAAAAAAACTCAAAAATTTTAAAGCTATGCAATCTAATTTTTAAAATAGAACTGTAAATATGCAACCAAAAACATATCAAAGGCGCAAGAAGTTTTTGTACCTGTTTGAAGGAGATAAACTTTTGCACTGTCAGAAATACCGAACGATTGCACCTGTTGGCAAGAACAGCGTCAAGAAAATCAAACAAGAGGTTGAAAAATAAAATGATCTAACTCAGATTCTTTTGGACTCTCAACAAATTCAAATTTTTTGTCCGGATTGGATCGGGTCGGATAGGACGTGCTGGCAAGAAAAAAATAATAAACAAAATCTAATTAAATATCCAGTGGGATTTAATTGGTTCCGGAGGCACCAAATAATTTCTCCTCTTCCATTGCTTAAGAGCGTTGAAGTTATTAATGAACAAAGAGAGCGAAAGATGATGATTGCTGGAGGAGAGGAGTGCGATTCTTCGAAGAAACCCGTTGAAATCCCTCGCTATGGGACTTTCGCACAGGCAGCTGTACCACCCGTCGCTCCTCTTCGCGGTTCTCCTCATTTGTACCAACAGCAACCCAAGCTCCCTCCAGCTCAACTGCCCGCTTACCAAGTCATACCTGGTTGGTTCCTTTATTCGTTAATTATTTTTTTTTTCGTTATTTGTTTTTTTCCCTTTGTTCTCAGATCTAGAACTAGGTTTTCTGATTACAATTTTTTTAAATTGTTTTTTTACTGTGATTTCAGTGGGATACCAATCCATCCCTTATGCGGTAGTGGCAGAGGGCATACCCATCAGAGAGCATCGCCTTCCATGCGGTGGCATTGGTATTGGATGGGTTTTGTAAGTAAATTTTTTTAATATTCAATGCTCCTTTCGTTAATTCGTTTACTACTGAATCTCTTTTGTTGTTTGTTAGATTACTTACATTAATGAGTGATCTTAAGCCCTACTTGGTTGCTGAAGTTAGAAAAAATGTTTCAAAAAATGTCAAAATTGTTATTTCTATGATTCAGTTGTAGTTAAATAGCAACATTGGCATCAAACCTCACAGACCCTTTTAAAACGTCCTCAATTGCAATGATTTTCAATTCACGCACAAATTTAATAAAAATGAAATCATCATTTTTGAAAGCATGATTTCTTTCTACAAGCAATCAAATGAACCCTTAGTTGTGTTTTTTGAGAATCTCTAAGGTTTTCTTTTGTTGTGGGCGGATTCCAAAATTTTTTTATTTACCTTTGTATTAGCAATTCAATGTCCTTTCAAATTCTTTTTTTTTTGAAAGAAATGCAAATTGCATTAAAGAGAAGAAATTATTACAAACTACTATGTGATAGAAAATCTATCACAATCCTCCTTGAACAAAGAAAAAAATAGAGGAATGTTATTACCACTAAGATCAACCAAAAAAATCGCCTAATAAAGTCATGTTAGCACAAAAATCAGCTAACTTATTACACTTTTTATGCGTGAAATGAAAAATGATATTCCCAAAATCCTTTAGAAAGGAGAAGTCTTCCACCATGCTAAAGTTATCTGAGCAAATTCCTTTATCAACCGATCCTTGAAGATATTTGATGACATTGTGATTATCACCTTCAATCACAATGTCGTTGGCTTCTATTTTCCAATCATGATGGATTTTCTTCAACGATCTAAAAGCAAGAAGTTCTAGCAATCTGCTATCCCAATGAACTATTTTGACTCCATAAGCAAGTAAAAACCTTCCTTTAGAGTCCCTAAAAATGCCACCAAGACCGGCTTCATTAGACTTCACCAAAGAAGCATCAAAATTAAATTTAATCCATCCAGATGGAGGAGGGTTCCAAGTATGAAACAACAATCGTTGGTTAACACCCCAGTGGTTCGAATAGATATTTAATTTTGCTGAATTTAATGTAATACTAAGAGCATTTGAAGCCAAATTCTTTGGAACCATGCTGAACACAATTCCTACTCTTCCAAGAAAAGAATATCACTGTGCAGTAGAGATTAGCAATAAATAGATTCGTAGAAGAAAGAAGTTCCAAATTATATATACAATCCATGAAAGAATTAAAACTTGGAGCAGGAAATCCCCAATCGTTAAGCAACTGAATAACAGGAACTAATTTTTCACATTTCACCGTGATGTGTTCTTCATCTTCTACAGCTATGCATCCTCTCGGACAAAGACAACACTCCAAAATTTTCCTATGCAGTAAGAAATCAAACGTAGGCAATGCTTTGTTTAAAATTCTCCACCAGAAACAATCTACACGAGGTGAAAGATGAATTTTCTTCATCCATTTCCAATTACTAGTTTGATCATTTATCCAGATTCACTTCTGCTACCATTCGAGAAACGGACTTGCCTGAAAACTTATTACAGAATTCCAAATGATCTCCAGATGTTTCATGAAAAAATTGTATTTTCAAAATACTATCAACCAAAATGCTTCCAAAATACTTGTTCAATTCATTTGTATTCCAATTCCCATTCTTAATAAATTTGTCAACAGATGGAATCTCACCTTCCAACACAGCTACAAATGTTGGCCATTTTTCAATACTTCTATCCAAAATCCACACATTCTTTAGAGTATTCACTGAATTGCTAGAAGACAACCTCCACTGTAGCAATGACCAAAGATATTCTGAACCATTAATGATAATCTTCCAAGTAGACGAGCAGTTTTTTTTATTGTTATTATGCCAAATGTCTTCACCATACTTGCTCCTCAATGATTTGTTAAGATTAGAATTAGGATTATTAATAAAATTTCATGCAAATTTGGCTCTAAAAGGCCCAACCGCAGTTACAGCAGAGTGTATACCTCTTCCTCCTTGATCCACAGGTTTGCAGAGTTTCTTCCATGCCATATAATGAATGCTACGAACACCACCATGTTTATTCCATAAGAAATCTTTGCACATCCTATCAATTTCCTTCAAGATACTCAATGGAACCAAAGAGTGTGTAGCATAAAAAATTGGAATTGATAAAATCACAGCTTTGATCAAAACCATTTTACCGGCTAATGAAAAGAATTTGTTTCCCCAACCATTTATTTTGCCCGCAGCTTTCTCCAGGATATGTAAAAAATCAGATGAAACATGTATCCTTAAAGCCATTTTAACACCCAAAAACTTCAGCTCTTAAACTTCCCTAAACTTCAACAACTTCGAAATATTTTTCTTCTTTGATCGAGAGACAGATTTGCCATAAATAACTGCAGATTTTTGAAAGTTAACACTTTGTTTAGTCCACTTACAATAATTATAAACAATCTTTCTAATCTTCTTCAAATCCCAAGTCTTAGCTTCATAGAAAACAATGATGTCATCGGCATAGAGTAAATGTTATATTTTGGGAGAAGTTGGAGCAACTTTGATGCCCAAATTATCACATTGACTAAACCCATTGGTCAAGAGCTGAGAACATTGAATAAACAAGTACTGGGACAGCGGACATCCTTATCGAAACTCACTTTTGGCTTCAATCCAGTTTGAGTTTTTGCCATTCACTAGAATAGAGAATTTGGGATTTACAACACATTCCATCAATAGATTAGAAAAATATCCCGGAAAACCAAAGTATTCTAAAACTTGTTTCAAAGTTTGCCAAGCCATTCAATCATAAGCTTATTCCATATCAATTTTGATTGCTGCCAATCCCTTTTTAGATTTTGAAAATCTAAATTTATTGAAAATATCTTGTACCAGTAGTATGTGATTAGACAAGCTTCTACCTTTTAAAAAAGCAGCTTGATTCTCAGAAATAAAACCAACTTTATAAATAGATAAACACAAGCTGATAGGACGGAAGTTAGAGGGGTCTACCGGATTAACAATTTTAGGAATAAGAATTACCCTTGTCTCTTTCCATTTAGAGCACATGATACCTGTTATAAAGAATTGAGAGATAGCCGACCACACATCCTTCCCTATGATCTTCCAGTAAGCTTTGAGAAAGGAATAAGGAATTCCATCCAACCCCAGGGAGATGTTCCTCCCTAGTCCTTCAATCACATTTTCAACTTCCTGGAATGTAAAATCCATGTCCAGAAAATTACATTCATCTTGATTTAACTTGTTTAATTGCTTTGGCCAATTATTGAGAACGCATGATCTACACCTCCATTTATTGCAAAAGAACTCAAACATATCATAATCTATTCCTTCTTGATAATACAACATAACGCCATTAGAATCCCTCACCTATTTGATGAGATTGCCATTCCTCCTTCTGTAGCAAAGGCATGAAAATAGTTGGAATTAATGTCTCCTTCCTTCAACCATTTAATCTTCACTCTTTGTCTCCACCAAATGTTTAATCGAGCTAGTGTAGTGTTCAATTCACCTACTTTTAATCTAAGAAGGAGAAGTTTTTCATTAGTAAAACCGTTCGACCCCACTTCCTCCGACTGTAGTTCAGAAGCTTCAATTTTTAATTTTTCCTTTAACACCAACAAGTTTTGATGCTTTGCTCTACTCCAGAAAAATAAATCCCACAGCGATCTTCGAAATTTCTTATTAAGATTCTCCATGGGCTCACAATCATTACATCTATTCCAAGAGTTACAAACAATAGCCATAGAAGCGGGGTATGAAATCCATACATCTTCAAATCTCATCAATTTGCTTTTACGAATTGATTTTTAAAATTTTTTAAGAATAATGGGGCAGTGATCCGATGCTACCCTTGCCAAATGACTACAAGACACATTCTGAATCAATTCCAAAGCTTGAGAATTCAAAAGACATCTATCAAGTCTTTCCCAAATGCGAGCGCTTCCTTTCTTATTATTACACCAAGTGTAGTTTGGGCCAATAACACCAACCTCATGATAATCAAATTCATTCATGAATGAGATCATCTCTTGAGGCCCAAGAGAAAAATTGAATTTTTTTCCCTCTTCTTTATCTCCTTGTGACAAAATACAATTGAAGTCCCCCCCCCCACAACTGTAGGAATACTCAAATTAGAATGCTGTCCCAAGAGATTCTATAATTCCCTTCTGCCGCATACTTCTCTACTCCCATATACAGTAGATACAACCCAATTACATTTGTTGACAATTTTCAGCTCTCCAATTATACACCTAGAAGAAGCTCCCAATAGAGAAAATGATGCCAAATCAATCCTCCACATAACCATTAACCCGCCAGAAAGCCCATCAGAAGGGTAAAGAAAGAAATCCCAATCCTTACCCATAAATTTACAAAAATCCCAATTAGCAATCGAAGGGATTTTTGTTTCTACAATTCCAACAAAGAACACATCCCAATCTTTGACCACTTCCTTCAAGTACGGAGAGGCTTCCCTTTTATTCGCCCCTCTACAATTCCAAAAGGCTAAGGAACTCATTTTCCCACCAAGGGGGAAGGACCCCCATTCCTTTTTTTAATCAAAACTTCAAATTTTTTATGCCTTCAGGAGTTATTCAAAGGACCTAGGGATTTGAGTTCCTTTTGTAGTTTAGGTTTAAAAACAGAAGCCCCATTTCCAATATTATCCAAGTTCTCATCACTATTAACTACAGAATCACCATAATTTCACTACATATTAATTTACCTTAGGAGTAATTTTGTTGAATGGAGATAAAAATATCATTTTTTATATGATGATTTCATTTTCAGTCATTTCATGATTGGAAATTAGAACATCATTGTAGAGGGATCTTGAAGGTTTTTTAGAGTATAAAAACTATATCCAACCGAATGATGGAATATAGTAAGTTGATTATTTCTTGAAACATGTTTTAAAACTCCAAGCAAGCAAATGAGCCCTAAGGAAAAATTGTTGAAAAAATATTGTACTTAAACTATTATGGGCCATGATGCTAAAAGGATAGGG